AAGATGTCATTGAAATATCTTCGTATAGAAAAGGGATTCAGTTTTCTTTGCAATCAGTGTTGTAACTTCAGGACTTGGCATCCATCACGCTGTCCCATCAATCAAACCAACGCGGAACCAATAACTTGTAAAAACTTGTTAACTTCTATGAACCAAACATTAAACTTCAAATCAATTCAGTACCCTCGTTCGATTTTGCACGAGAACGAGAATTAAAATATTTTGTGGTTTAAAAAACCTGAACAGGTCATATTTTGATCCCTATTTGGTTCAACCTTAAATCAAAACGCAACGAAAAGACAAGGCTGACAAAATGAAGCTCTTGATTTTGATGATAGTTTTGAGCTGCTGGTTCTCTTTGGCTTTCCCGTCAAAAGGTATCAATAAGTGTTTTTATTTTTTTCTCAATTGTTTCTGCACATTCTTATATCCCTTACATCTGTTATGTACACTGATTTATACGCTCAATTAATTAGTTTAACTACTAACAATATATTCGCTGTTTTTTCCCATGAAATATTTTTTGTGATAAAATGATGAATTACACATAGCCAAAAAAATGAGAAATATTGTATATAAAACTCTTAAAATAGTGTCCATCAAGCGTAGTCGCGCAGTATATGCATTTGTTGATGTTCGAGCCTCGCGCCGATGTTTTTTCGTAGTTCCTCCTTGTCTAAACACTGACAACTTATCGCGCAACAACAACAAAACAGTTCTTGAAAAACGACACTGACGCCAGTCAGTAACAATGTTGCGCAATTAGTTTAAAATTAAAAGTTTAAAATTATCGTTAAACGTCTGCTGATGTAATCTGTGTCACTGTCTCTAATGAAAAGTTTGTACCTAGTATTTCTCGGGCTTCACTATAGTGTCGCTTGCAAATCGTGCCCGTCGTCAAATTAGAAGACTTCCTGTCGAAGAACCAACGTCCGACAATTAGATCGAAAAGATTTTCTCTGTATTCTTTATATYGTGTATAACTCATCATTAGTTATCCCGACTAAGGACAACGTTTTGAAAAGTTAAAATTTGTCAACTTAAAAGTTAACTGCTACAGTCAATTTTGGGCTGCTAAAAGTAAAAAAGTAAACTTGAAATTTATATAAGAATTTTGATGATTCCTTTGCTTTCCATTGTCTCTCCTTTTAACCCTTTTCAGCTGACTATTTTGCAACTTTTAGTGTTTGCACTCTACTCTCAATTTTCATTGTTTGACAATCGGTTTCATATTAACGCGAAAAAATCTACATTCTAGGGAGTCACAATAATTCGGATTGATGCGAAGAAATTTTGTGGATGGCCGATAATATTTTTCTATTTACGTATGTATTATGTAAGATTATGAGACAAATCCCAATATTTAAAAAAGAAACTGAGAAAGGCGATAGAATATGAATATAGAATATGAATCAGGAAATCTCCGGGTACAACACTGTTGTCTGCGGTCATGGTCGACCATTCATGGTTATCAATGGCATCTTTTTTATTTGTCAATTCTTAATGTAATGTTTCATTCACCGAATCATTCAGTTATTTGCGGAACCAATAACTTGTAAAAACTTGTTACCTTCTATGAACCAAACGTTTCAAATCATTTCAGTAACATCATTCTATTTTTAACTAGGATAAGAATTAAAATATTGTATGGTTTAAAAAACTGAACTCATTTTAATTTCGAGCACTTTTTCCTATTTGCTCAACCTTGAATCAAAAAGGCAACGAAAAGACAATATGAAGCTCTTGATTTTGATGATAGCTTTGATCGGCTGGTTCTCTTTGGTTTTCCCTTTAAAAGGTATCAATAAGTGTTGGTAACTTTTTCTCAATAGTGCTCATGCATTTTTATATCTTTTATGTACATTTATACGTTTAGAAAACTAATTACCAATGTGATCTTCGTGGGTTCGTTTTCTCATTAAATGTTTTGTGATAAATAAAAAAAGGATAAGCATTGAGACTCGTTGTGCCACATATAGTCGATTGACATAAGGTTGTCGTCGACCGGGTTCAGTTCACGAAACGTGACTAGCCCAAACTGTTTTCTGGGTAAAAATCAATGAACTGTCAATTTAGAGATTTGAACGCCTTGACCTTTGTGATTGGAAGAACTGACACATAATGTGTGACAAAAATTTCAAAATCACGATAATTTAATTATGCATGCATGTGATGTTGATTTTTGCATCTCACATTGTATTTCATCGTGGTGGGGAGTACAAAGTTTAATGTTTGTCATCTACAAACATACTGCTGAAGGATAATTTCTCAAGATTAAACAACGTTCAATATTTGTCTTCGAGTTCTTAAAAAATGGAATAAAAGGCTAAACAAATTTACACTATACTGGAAGGCGTTGTTATGCCATTTCATTAATTTTTACCCAGAAACCTGTTCGCGTTGGTCGCGTTCTACGAAGTCCGACTAGTCCGGTTGACGACAAACTTTTGTTAATCGTCTATATATATTATCATTACTATAGCAGCGTATCCATTTTTGATATTCGAAATTGACGTCGATGTTTTTTCGTAGTTCCCCCTTGCCTCAGCACTGACAACTTATCGCGCAACAACAACAAAACAGTTCTTGAAAAACTACAAACACTGGTGCTAATATAACAGTAACAATCTTGCGCGAAAAGTTTTTGCAGTCTATTCTATATTTCCCGGGCATTCTAAATTGTAGGACGTCCATGATCGTCAAAACTAAATGTATTTGTTTTATTTTGTGTTTTAAGACGTACTTGAACAATCCATGTGCAAGCGACTGAGAACAAAAGGGATGTGCAAGGGTCGTTTTACCTGCATCAAAAACGATCTGTGTAAAGTCACGTGCGGTAAGAACATCTTCATTAATGATTTCTACTTATTGAATATAGTATATGTAGCAATGAATCCTATAGAGATATTAGGGAACGGGACAGTATTTTGTGTACCCACTGTATTTTCATGTAGTTTGGAGATCGATAATTGTTTTGTTTGCCATTTATCAGCCCTCCTAATAACAGAGGAGAAAGTATTTCAATTCCTATAAAACTGTTTGACTCTCATAAACGTACCTCTTAGAAATCACTGCTCCCTTATCTTTGACTGCTTCATTTATGTTACGTATTTATAGGGTGTAACGACATTCTTTCTCTGCAATCGTGTAAAGTACTGAAAGGAATAAAAGCATGCTCCAAACACTTGGCAGTGGGGTTCGATTATTGCAGGTGGACCTGTGGATTTTGTTGTGAGTAAATAATCCTTTTTTGGAAACTAAGTGACGATTACGATTTTTAAATGTGGCATATTTGACATGTTTCGGCGTTACTTACGCTACGACCATCGCTAAACCAACAAGTTACACCCGATTTCAAATGAGTGCGAACTCTCGAATTTTTTTTCGGACGCTAAACTTTCACTCGACCGTCATTCACTCGACCACTTGGTAACCTGGCACAGCTTGAAGCGGGTAAAATTATCCAAGTATAAAAACCATGGTTAATGTATGTCTGTGGGCTAAATTCCTACAGTTTGTGATCGCACTACAAAACGAACTTATTRTAAAAACTAGTTTCGGTTTACTTAMCTTTYTCAGCTCACAATTACAACGAAACAGTTGAAAAATAAATAGSGTGAMAAACACTGACAAGCGCGCGCACTTTAAATCGCTTTTAGTGYTCGTAGGCTGTTCTTTGTTGATTTTACTAGTTTACTGATTAAAATGAAGAGGTTATCGGACGATATTCGGTGGAAGGTTATTTACCATGAACTTATTTACGGTTCAAGCATTAAGGAAACTTGTAGAGCGTTGTTTTTAGGGAAAACTTTTGTTTGTAAAATTCGACAACTTTATAAACGTACAGAAAATGTTGCTGTACATACACGGCGTGGAAGGCCTCCTTCTCACGTATGTAAGTGTCATTGTAAACTTGTATTCAATCAATCAGGGTTTTTTTACAGTAATACGAATAAGAATGTATTTACTTCTTCGACAAAAGGTTACATTTAAACATAAGCTACTTCGTTTTCAACCTTTAATTTAAACAACAATGTTGCAATTATKTTTTCGCTTGCTTGATAATTTTTTTATTGTAAACTTAAAATGTTTACATAACGAAAGAAAAGAAAAATGTGTATTTTAGTTCAACATAAGAATATCTTTTCAAGATGCAGAGAACAACACCCTCAAGTTCATGGTTCTTGCAAAGCTATACCTAATTGTGCAAAGTATTATTTGCATGCATTTGATTGGAACAAAATGGCGGCTAGAAAACCAGGCGAAACCCACTTTTCTATATCTATGCGGTCGCAAGGAAATCCGCTCAATCTAATTGAATGCAATGCAAGCGATTGTTCTGATTGTTCATCTTTACCAAGAAAATTGTATCACTGTCCGTTGTGCAAGATGAACTTTCGTTTGAGGTCGAGATTTTAGAATTATGGAGGAAGAAGCGGTGGTCTTTGTTCGAGATACCTGTGGTCCTTTTGTTTCTCAGAACATTTTACTTCACTCAATGCAATTGAGAACAATTAGAAGAATATCAACTAAACTTGATTAAAAACTATAATTTTCTATCAGTGATTTGTAGTTTAAATTTGGCTTTATTAACTTGTAAACATGCGAAAGTCCCGCTACAGAAAGTCACGCATCACTTACTAAACACGTGTGCCTGGTTACCAAGCGGTCGAGTGAATGACGGTCGAGTGAAARTTWAGCGTTCAAAAAAAATTCGAGAGTTCGCACTCATTTGAAATCAGGTGTAAACACTTAGCTCTCTCTCTTTGTCTTTGTAACTTATTATACCAACATATTCACGTGCTATGTTTACTATATATATATATATATATATATATCACTTTCCTTACTTTGTTTTCATTTCTGATGATGGCGTAAGTAACGCCGAATGTCAAATATACCACATTTAAAAATCGTAATCGTCATTTTAAAATTATTATGCTCATTGCTGCTCAAAAGACCTTTTGAAACTAAGTGACCTGTCATTATTTATCGTCAAGGTTGGAGTGAAAGATATGCCGATTATTAGACCTTTTTAGCATCCAAGCAAAAATGCGCAAACCGTTTTCAATAAAAACATATCAAGAGCGTGACGTTTTGAACCAATTTTAGTGCATTTTCAAATATTGTCCTTAATAGACAAAAAAAAAATCGCGCATGCAAAAAATAATAAAACCTTAAATTACACTGAAAATGGGCTGCTGCTTGTTTTTTTTACACATCTTTCGAATCAAATATACCTATATAGGGACTGTTAAACAACATTAAAAGTATAAGATACCTCACTCAATAATTTGATTATCACCTCGACCATTGCGATTGGCTATTAGAGCACTTATTAATTTCTACAAATCTTCAGGGAGAAAGAGGGCATGTAAGTCGGCACGTGCACTTGGGATGCAGAGTAGAGCCATTCCTGACTCCAGTATCGCTGCTTCATCGTATTATCGCTCAGATCATGCCCCACAGCAAGGAAGACTTCACTACAGAGCAAGTGGTAGATCTGGATCATGGTGTGCAAAAAGAAACCGAGCCGGAGAATGGCTCCAAGTTGACTTGGGCAAGATCAGCACTATTAAAGGTGTCGCAACCCAAGGTCGATACGATTACAACCAATGGGTGAAAACCTACACCCTGCAATACAGCAACAATGGCAAAACCTTCAAGAAATACCAGGGAGGCAAAGTGTTCAAAGGAAACAGTGACAGACACACCGTTGTCAAGCATAATCTAAATCCCCCGATTTATGCCAGGTACATCAGGGTAGTAGTCAAGACATGGTATGGTCACATTTCAATGAGAATGGAGCTGTATGGGTGCAAATACCATTAAAGGTAAACACAGCAATTGAGGAGGAAAAGGAACGTAGAGGGAATTGATTTTTTTGGTGGAGGGAGGGTTTACACATAGTAAAAAGCTTGGAAAATCGTATATTTCATTTCTTCATGATATTTGCCAAAATCCTCTGGGGCACGATAGTATGAAGAATATACAGTGAGAACAGATTCTTATCCTTTTATATTTACCTTATTTCATCCATTTTTTCTTATATACCTATAAAATGTGAAGCGAAAGGTGATTATGAAGCGAAAGATGGTTCTGCTTTCCTTTTTTGGGACATATTTCTACTAAAAGTAAACTTTAAAACCCTGAAAATGAACTTCTTTCTCCTCTTAACTGCTCTCGGCGGCCGCCCATTCACAAAACCATATTGTTGAAGACGCTTTCTGATTGGCTGTTTTGCCCTGAACTTATGATGAGCAATTCTAAAAATAGCACCAAGAGGGTTAAATACCATTCTAACAATCTTCTAACCACCTATTACATGTAATAAGAGGAAGGCTTCTAGTAATGGGCTCCTGACATTTTCGTTGTTTTCTATTTCAGCTCAACAATCAGTCAACCGTGATCCGTGATGCAGACTATCGTAATAAGGTGGATAACGTAAAACATGTAATGGGTTGATTTTTTAAGATAAATTTACCATCGACATGGTATACTATAAGATAATGTTAAGGTATTAAATTAAAGGTTTTAAGCACTACATGCCAGCTTCTTGAATCTTCTTATTTTTTTAATCATAATCATCACCACTACCAGGCCTAGCCTGATCTAGACGGATTTCCTGTTAAAACTACCCTCCACACCTCCTTTTGCAGGTCTTTTGGGGCAATAAAATAACAATTTCATTCATCTTAGGAACAGATATTACCTTCTATTTTTGACTACAGGTATATCAATCCGTTTTCCATTGTGTTTAGTTTATATTTTTTTAGTTATTTCCCATGCGTGTTTTCATCAAAACTGAAATGATATGAAAATATTGAAAGCATTTCATGAAATGCTCACAGCAGAAATTGCAGTTTCACTCAAAGCTGGCTCACTCAAGATCAATACCTCTTAAATTTATTGCCCACTTCTTAAATTGAAGATACGAAGACAGTTTAAAGTGTCACCTCATTGCCCCAATTTTGTCTTCACTTGGTAGACGGGGTTTGTGTGAGTGTCACGTGATGGACGGGCTGTGTGAGTGTCACGTAGTAGACGTACTGTGCGAGTGTCACGTGGTGGACGGGGTGTGTGCGTGTCACGTGGTAGACGGGCTGTGCGTGTATCACGTGGTAGACGGGATGTGTTAGTGTCACGTGGTAGACGGACTGTGTGGGTGTCACGTGGTAGACGGGCTCTGTGAGTATAGAAATGAAACAAAGTTATAGTGCTTAGAAGGAGGCAATTCCGGGAGGAGTCCCTTAGGAATAAATTCGGAAAAATTAATTTCCGACCTCGCTGGGATTCGAACCCACGACCTTCGGATTTGTACACCGATGCTCTACCAGCTGAGCTACAAGGCCAGACTGGGAGCAGGTCGGGGTGAAATAGATGTTAAGGTTGCGGTAATAGAATAATGTAAAGATATGAATATGAAGACCGCATGGCACTATGATAAACACGATATAGAAATGAAAGAAAGTTATAGTGCTTAGAAGGAGGCAATTCCGGGAGAAGTCCCTTAGGAATAAATTCGGAAAAATTAATTTCCGACCTCGCTGGGATTCGAACCCACGACCTTCGGATTTGTACACCGATGCTCTACCAGCTGAGCTACAAGGCCAGACTGGGAGCAGGTCGGGGTGAAATAGATGTTAAGGTTGCGGTAATAGAATAATGTAAAGATATGAATATGAAGACCGCATGGCACTATGATAAACATGATATAGAAATGAAAGAAAGTTATAGTGCTTAGAAGGAGGCAATTCCGGGAGAAGTCCCTTAGGAATAAATTCGGAAAAATTAATTTCCGACCTCGCTGGGATTCGAACCCACGACCTTCGGATTTGTACACCGATGCTCTACCAGCTGAGCTACAAGGCCAGACTGGGAGCAGGTCGGGGTGAAATAGATGTTAAGGTTGCGGTAATAGAATAATGTAAAGATATGAATATGAAGACCGCATGGCACTATGATAAACACGATATAGAAATGAAAGAAAGTTATAGTGCTTAGAAGGAGGCAATTCCGGGAGAAGTCCCTTAGGAATAAATTCGGAAAAATTAATTTCCGACCTCGCTGGGATTCGAACCCACGACCTTCGGATTTGTACACCGATGCTCTACCAGCTGAGCTACAAGGCCAGACTGGGAGCAGGTCGGGGTGAAATAGATGTTAAGGTTGCGGTAATAGAATAATGTAAAGATATGAATATGAAGACCGCATGGCACTATGATAAACATGATATAGAAATGAAAGAAAGTTATAGTGCTTAGAAGGAGGCAATTCCGGGAGAAGTCCCTTAGGAATAAATTCGGAAAAATTAATTTCCGACCTCGCTGGGATTCGAACCCACGACCTTCGGATTTGTACACCGATGCTCTACCAGCTGAGCTACAAGGCCAGACTGGGAGCAGGTCGGGGTGAAATAGATGTTAAGGTTGCGGTAATAGAATAATGTAAAGATATGAATATGAAGACCGCATGGCACTATGATAAACACGATATAGAAATGAAAGAAAGTTATAGTGCTTAGAAGGAGGCAATTCCGGGAGAAGTCCCTTAGGAATAAATTCGGAAAAATTAATTTCCGACCTCGCTGGGATTCGAACCCACGACCTTCGGATTTGTACACCGATGCTCTACCAGCTGAGCTACAAGGCCAGACTGGGAGCAGGTCGGGGTGAAATAGATGTTAAGGTTGCGGTAATAGAATAATGTAAAGATATGAATATGAAGACCGCATGGCACTATGATAAACATGATATAGAAATGAAAGAAAGTTATAGTGCTTAGAAGGAGGCAATTCCGGGAGAAGTCCCTTAGGAATAAATTCGGAAAAATTAATTTCCGACCTCGCTGGGATTCGAACCCACGACCTTCGGATTTGTACACCGATGCTCTACCAGCTGAGCTACAAGGCCAGACTGGGAGCAGGTCGGGGTGAAATAGATGTTAAGGTTGCGGTAATAGAATAATGTAAAGATATGAATATGAAGACCGCATGGCACTATGATAAACACGATATAGAAATGAAAGAAAGTTATAGTGCTTAGAAGGAGGCAATTCCGGGAGAAGTCCCTTAGGAATAAATTCGGAAAAATTAATTTCCGACCTCGCTGGGATTCGAACCCACGACCTTCGGATTTGTACACCGATGCTCTACCAGCTGAGCTACAAGGCCAGACTGGGAGCAGGTCGGGGTGAAATAGATGTTAAGGTTGCGGTAATAGAATAATGTAAAGATATGAATATGAAGACCGCATGGCACTATGATAAACATGATATAGAAATGAAAGAAAGTTATAGTGCTTAGAAGGAGGCAATTCCGGGAGAAGTCCCTTAGGAATAAATTCGGAAAAATTAATTTCCGACCTCGCTGGGATTCGAACCCACGACCTTCGGATTTGTACACCGATGCTCTACCAGCTGAGCTACAAGGCCAGACTGGGAGCAGGTCGGGGTGAAATAGATGTTAAGGTTGCGGTAATAGAATAATGTAAAGATATGAATATGAAGACCGCATGGCACTATGATAAACACGATATAGAAATGAAAGAAAGTTATAGTGCTTAGAAGGAGGCAATTCCGGGAGAAGTCCCTTAGGAATAAATTCGGAAAAATTAATTTCCGACCTCGCTGGGATTCGAACCCACGACCTTCGGATTTGTACACCGATGCTCTACCAGCTGAGCTACAAGGCCAGACTGGGAGCAGGTCGGGGTGAAATAGATGTTAAGGTTGCGGTAATAGAATAATGTAAAGATATGAATATGAAGACCGCATGGCACTATGATAAACATGATATAGAAATGAAAGAAAGTTATAGTGCTTAGAAGGAGGCAATTCCGGGAGAAGTCCCTTAGGAATAAATTCGGAAAAATTAATTTCCGACCTCGCTGGGATTCGAACCCACGACCTTCGGATTTGTACACCGATGCTCTACCAGCTGAGCTACAAGGCCAGACTGGGAGCAGGTCGGGGTGAAATAGATGTTAAGGTTGCGGTAATAGAATAATGTAAAGATATGAATATGAAGACCGCATGGCACTATGATAAACACGATATAGAAATGAAAGAAAGTTATAGTGCTTAGAAGGAGGCAATTCCGGGAGAAGTCCCTTAGGAATAAATTCGGAAAAATTAATTTCCGACCTCGCTGGGATTCGAACCCACGACCTTCGGATTTGTACACCGATGCTCTACCAGCTGAGCTACAAGGCCAGACTGGGAGCAGGTCGGGGTGAAATAGATGTTAAGGTTGCGGTAATAGAATAATGTAAAGATATGAATATGAAGACCGCATGGCACTATGATAAACATGATATAGAAATGAAAGAAAGTTATAGTGCTTAGAAGGAGGCAATTCCGGGAGAAGTCCCTTAGGAATAAATTCGGAAAAATTAATTTCCGACCTCGCTGGGATTCGAACCCACGACCTTCGGATTTGTACACCGATGCTCTACCAGCTGAGCTACAAGGCCAGACTGGGAGCAGGTCGGGGTGAAATAGATGTTAAGGTTGCGGTAATAGAATAATGTAAAGATATGAATATGAAGACCGCATGGCACTATGATAAACACGATATAGAAATGAAAGAAAGTTATAGTGCTTAGAAGGAGGCAATTCCGGGAGAAGTCCCTTAGGAATAAATTCGGAAAAATTAATTTCCGACCTCGCTGGGATTCGAACCCACGACCTTCGGATTTGTACACCGATGCTCTACCAGCTGAGCTACAAGGCCAGACTGGGAGCAGGTCGGGGTGAAATAGATGTTAAGGTTGCGGTAATAGAATAATGTAAAGATATGAATATGAAGACCGCATGGCACTATGATAAACATGATATAGAAATGAAAGAAAGTTATAGTGCTTAGAAGGAGGCAATTCCGGGAGAAGTCCCTTAGGAATAAATTCGGAAAAATTAATTTCCGACCTCGCTGGGATTCGAACCCACGACCTTCGGATTTGTACACCGATGCTCTACCAGCTGAGCTACAAGGCCAGACTGGGAGCAGGTCGGGGTGAAATAGATGTTAAGGTTGCGGTAATAGAATAATGTAAAGATATGAATATGAAGACCGCATGGCACTATGATAAACACGATATAGAAATGAAAGAAAGTTATAGTGCTTAGAAGGAGGCAATTCCGGGAGAAGTCCCTTAGGAATAAATTCGGAAAAATTAATTTCCGACCTCGCTGGGATTCGAACCCACGACCTTCGGATTTGTACACCGATGCTCTACCAGCTGAGCTACAAGGCCAGACTGGGAGCAGGTCGGGGTGAAATAGATGTTAAGGTTGCGGTAATAGAATAATGTAAAGATATGAATATGAAGACCGCATGGCACTATGATAAACATGATATAGAAATGAAAGAAAGTTATAGTGCTTAGAAGGAGGCAATTCCGGGAGAAGTCCCTTAGGAATAAATTCGNCAAATATCCCCTATATTATTTCTATCTTTCAAATAGTTCTTTACCTATTAGTTATCGATTATATTGTTCATCATTACTTCGGGAAGCTTCATGTTTGTAAATGTCTGAATGAATATGTTA